CGGACACTATGGGTCATGGTTTGCTCGAGGCCGCTCAGCGTCTCGCTGCACGCTCCTCCCTCTTGCAGCCGGGTAATCTGGATCAAATAGAGTCCCGTCTAGCCAGTCTCCAAACAAAGTTACAGAGCATTACAGAGAAGCGTGAAACAATTGCCGATGCTGATTCACAACACAAGGTAGTCCCATCAGCCTCTCTGTTATCCCACAATTCCTACTGTTATAGGCCTACTGTCTTCTAGCTGTCTGCGGAGACAATGTGGAGCCTTGCAGTTTCTATAAAATGCCTTATTCGTTGGCTTCTAGATCGCCGAGTTGTATGAACTCGTAAAGAAGTGGAGCTCTATGGCCGATGATTTGCCGCAGATTGTCCAAAGATTGCAGGACCTTCAGATTTTGCACGAACAGGGTTAGTTCTGTTTTACGTTCTGCAAATTATGCCTTTATTCCATGCACAGCCGGACACATTTTCTGGTCTCTCTGTCTCGCTCTGCATTGCTATTCATACTTTGCGCGGAAAGCCTTAAAAGGCTCGAGGATCCTTTCCGCACCCAAAACTCTCTAGACGTGGGACCGTACCCATTGACAGCGTCGATGACAGCACTAGTTTTGCAATATTATCTCATGCTACTTTGGAGTAGTGAATTCGTTGCTTCATAACGTTTATAAGGCATGCCAGTATTAGGAAAATGCTCAAGGTCTACGCTTCGCAACTTGATTCAGGGGATTCTGGTGGGATTATTCAGAGGTCCATCACGTACTTACTTGCTGTTACTCGGTGCGGTTGCACTCATGCCTGATTTATCCGGCCTCATTGATGTCATGGACTGTTCCGCTGCATAAGTGACGACCCAAGACGGCAGATTTGGATATTTAAACCTTTCCTCGTTACCAGCGCCGGAAACCAAGTACCGAAAGCCCCAAAACCACTTCTCTGTGTTGAAGAACTGTGTCGAAACAGGTTTTGATTTGACCCCCCCTTTTCGACGCCTTCAAGTGGGTAACGGTGCCGAGTGAAGGGCAGTAACATTGAGCTCATGAGGTAGACGGCGAAGAACGTGCCCGAACCGCTCTAGTCATATCGCTTAGATTGCCTGGGATGTTCTAGCGATGTTGTCATAGTTCTTCTAACCCTAGCTTTTTTCTGGAATTTAGCCCCAGGCCAGCTGTAATGGGGGGGGAGGAGTAATCATAATCATATCATTTTCTCAGTACCTTTAAAGTGCCTGGCACTAATTACAGTGATATCAAGTCTTTTGCAAAGAATTGTTTATTTATTTGTCTATTTTATTCACAAGTATTATAGACCGTAAACGTCCAAAACGATGATTGAGCGAGTGAATATTAGACAGTCAGTGACCGATATCACGAAACATTAACCGAACTTCTAAAACGTTGATTGATGCTCCATTATCTTACAAATTTATTAACTCATGTCAGCCACCAGACCTGTGGGCTTTGTCCAATTATTGTGGTCGTTAGGGGTAAAGAGAGTGGAATATGTACTACGCACGTCCTCTTCTAATTTATTTTATGCTCAAATCACCACCGCACGCCCAGGGCAGTGACAGTCCCTCTTGCTTGTGATGTATGAACTGTCAAGGAAATATCCACCTTTCCTCTAGTCTGATTGCCTCACTCTGCGCCCTTCCACACCTTAGGTTGGCTGTGTTTGGGTTTTCCTGGCTAGGCTCAACACTTCAAAAAATAAAGACACTCAGCGACTCCGCGCACACGCTTGCACTAGTCAATACTTCTAAATTGCGTAGTGATCGTCCATTGGTTGCTTTTTCTACGCACCAATGGATATTCAACTCAGTGTGTTGCGCGCCAGCGGACAAATCGTTATCTATTTTCCATACACCGAAGCCTACCAAACATTTCCACTTTGTACCGCCAAACCTTTTTAAGCCTGTCAGCTCGATCTGGCTACTTTCTATGCCTGTCTTCTTAATATAGTATTTACGTCCCACAAGAGCCGTCTTCAGTGATTCATCCTCATAAAACCTGTGGCC